AAGAATAGATAAGAGTTCATAGACGAACTCTAGATAGGGAAGAGTTGCTGGAGGGGAAAGGAGGGGCATGGGGTTAGAAATGATAGTGGAATGTGATGGTCATTATTATCCAAAGTACATGTATGAAGACACAAATTGGTGTGAATATACTTTGTATAAAACCAGAGATATGAAAAATCGTGCTCTATATGTGTAATAAGAATTGTAATGCATTCCACTGTCATATATAAATAATAAAAAAAGAATAGATAAGAAAAAGTGCTTCACCACCAACGAATTTCCCAAACCAAATCCACACTGTAATATCCATGCAAAAATAGTTTTCACCAAGAATAAGAGCAATGTAATGGCACAAGAGTAAGCTCTGGACTTTTTTGAAATACAGTTGTAGGAGACAACCCTTTAGTTTGTAAAGATCTTCCAAAAATGTTCCCTGCCTTCTCAAATACAGAGACTACCTCATTTCCTGCAAATTGTTTTTTTCTAATTCTGTTCAAGGATATCAACTTCATTAAAACTTTAAAGACTTAATCCTGAGTTATGGCTTGATGAGATCTCTGTGGGATGAAAGAAATCAAGAGATCATAGTACCTGCTATTTTAAAATGTTCTTACAATGGAAATATAATTTGTTGATGAGAATGCATTGCTGCAGAGAAAAATCGAATTTGAAGAAAAAAAATTTGAAATATTAGCTTAAACCCTAGGATGAGCTTCTAAAAAGAAAATCTGTTTTTTTAAAACAAACATCAAGGCAAATATCACTTAATTAGGCTGATTTTATATTTCAGACATGAGTCATATTTCTGAAAGAGAAAATTCAAAGTACTTACAATATATGTAAAATATCACTTTTCATACAAAGTAAGTTTTGATTTAGCTATTGACCAAAATTATTCAATTTATAAAAATCTAATTTATATTCAAGGGTCACAGGATTAAGCATTCTTTTACTTCTCTTGTTACCTTTTTTCTTTAAGATTCTATTTTCTATGATGATTTCTTCCTCTATATGAAAGGAAAGCTTTGATAGTAAAATGTTGAATAGGAATACTGTTAAATTCCATACATCTACCAAAACAAGTTGGAAGAACATCAGAACATTATAAACTACAATTTTCATAAGAGGAAAAAAAAATCACTCAGAAAAATAAGACAAATAAAAATCAAGAAAATCTGGTAAAATTTCAATCACTTCTTTGATTTATTTTATTACAGATAAATTTATATTACATTATTTTTGAAGGTAAGGGCATATAAAACAAAACACTTATATTATGAAAAATATCTGATTTTTCTTAGGTGAGGGATTTTTCCTAAGGATGATTTTTGTTTAATGTTCTGGTTTAAGGGAAAAACTAAATTATACAGAAAAACAATAAAACCACCAAGATCCCTTAAAATATTCCAATTTTTGATTCATTTAGTTACTCTGTACTTTCTAGAGAGTCTCATTTAGAAGCGAAAGAGTGACACTGGATGACCTCCAAGATCACAGCCACTCAGACATTGAGACATTCTATAAACACTTTCCCGTGTTGATGATGAATGCTACCCACTAGCTGCAATAACTCTAAATTAAATCATCATTTTGGAGTCAGTCATTTGTACATGTGCTTCTCTGCAAAATAAAACAAATGTTAAAATGAATAACCCATGTAATTCATATGGATCTACTAAAAGCCTAGACACAGCAAATCAAGTGGCATCCACATTTTAGCAAATATTCTAGCAAACACGTAAAGAATGACTCAAATAATGACTATAAGAATTCACTTCTCTTTATTAGAAAGTGCGCAACAAACCAACAAGTTCTGAAGGCCTAATGGGTCACAATTTCTAGGTTGCCTATAGGCCGTCACTATCAGATTTATTTAGATAATGCGTGTGTAGCTATAGCTGGTTGTTTTAGAAGTCCAACAGTCTTTTTTAGCCTTTGCCTCTGTCATCTGGGAGGTATATTCCCTTCTCTAAACCATTTTTCCTAATTATAAAAAAATAATGAAAATAGTAGTACCAAGCCCTAAAAAATTAAATATATAAAATTATTTCCATCCTTTAACAGAGTACACTCTCCTCTTCTTCAAAGTACCTTTTCTGTGTTATGTTGTAAAGAAGATAGGGGGAAAACATCTAGCGAATGTAGTTCTAGCCCCAGTCTTGCCACAATCTTACATGTGTAACCTTAGAGAAAATATAATCTTGCTGTGGCATTAGGATGTCTCATCTATACGGGTCAGGATTTTGTTGCACAACCCCAGGGTGCAACATCACATTCTACTCCAGAAAGGCATTCATGAAGCATCTGATACCCACTGTGGCCCTGGAACTATGTAATGTGAGGTCCTGCCCTGCCAGTTTCCACATTTTCATGTTGTTTCTGAGATTGATTTTCACATCTAGTCCCTGAACCATACTTTCAGAATCTTCACTGGGTTTAAAAGTTTCAACATTACAGTCTCAGAAATTGGTGAACTAAGAAAAGAGATTGAGAGATACTCATTGTATCAGCCCTGGGATCAGAAATACAAGCATGGCCTTTCCCATTAAATAGTTGGCTTAGCCTTAGTGCCTCAGCCGCACTCTCTTAGAAAGTCTGTGGAATGTGTGTCTCAGTGTTAGAAATCCACAGTGGAAATTCAGGGCAAATTATTTCAAGTCACCACTTCACCATTTGTGACTCAGATTGTAGTTTGCAAGGGTATGGCTTAGAAAGGCTAGTGATTTCAAGAATAACTCAAATAATAAGTGACTATAAGGCCAAAGTGCTTATAAAACAGATTCCGTCAAATAGAACTTTTCAGTGTTTAACAACTTCCTCCCAATCCACTAAAGAATACATTGTGGAATTAAGATGTGGAAAGTGCTCTCTCTCTATAAATAGGCTCAGCCTATATACTACCTGAATCATGGCTTCTGACAGCAGATCAACAAATCAGTTGTTTGGCTTCATTAGTAAGGATAATAGCACACTGTCATATTCCCCAAAAGCTTTACCACATGCCACACTCCAGTTCCTCTAAGCTAAGCTTCAGAACAAACCCCAGTCCATGGTATACAAATGCATTTCTGCTGCCTTGCACCCAACAGTTCCTGCCATCTCTGTGCTAGACTGTTACCATGACACTTTAGGTAAAGAAGTCACCAGTCAAGAGCCTTCCTGGCAAGATGAACACCAACTAGATGAAAAAGAGAAACAGATTAAATAAACACCAAAAAAAAAAAAACCAATAAACTCAGAAATTCCTTATTTTCAAATGAGATACTAGGGAAATGGCCACAGGAAGCAAAGCATACAGTCCTTCCTTCCCATGCAAACTTAAGCATTGCAAATTGTTCATTTGCAAATCAGCTTCAACAAAGATCAAATAAGTTTATCTTATCCATTCACAAATACAGTCCACCTGCCGTTCTTGTTACCTTGTTTTTAGCTGAGGAGGCTTAGTAGGATTCCAACTAGAGTGCAACAATGTACCAGAGACAGAGATGTAAGAGTCACAATGAGTTCAGAGCCTTGAAGTTTCTTGTACACCATATAATCCCTAAGAGAAGGCTTCCAAACTAACCCTGTGCAACAAAACAGAGGATTTTATTTTCCCCCAATACGAATTGTTGGATGTACAGTGATAACTCCAGCGTTTGTATAAATCTTCACTTTATAAAATATGCATGTCATATCAATTAGATGTAAAATAACAAGAGACTTTAGTAACTTCTGCCTTGGGTTCATTATATTTTTGTTTACTCCTGAAATTTATTACTCTAATGGCATCACAGAATAAAAAAAAAAAAAAAGAACTCACTGATGAAGTGACTAATGTCACGAAGACCCAATGGAAAGAAAACAAAACAAGGTGACTTCCTCGCAAGACTTACTTCCCAAATTTTTAAGCTAATCCTAAACCCCATTTGAATGTAACTTATGTGTTTCATTCTTACAACCTAAGAGAATACCTGTGCCAGAGTTGCTAAGGGGCTAACCTAAACTAGTCAACTGATCATAGAACTGGTTCTCTTTCCACCCAGTATTCCCTTTCAGTTCTCCACACCAGAGGTAGAACATCTGCATGTTGCAATTGACTCTGCAGCCACACCCAGGATCAATGTGTCTGATGGAAGCACAGATCTTGACAATCTGCTTTCATTCTCAAGCTGGGATACTGATGTGGCTTGGGCTGGGAACTGTCACACTAAAACTAGAGATATCCAATTTCCCTTTGCTGCGATATATCAAAGAATAATCATTTGAGTTTAGAGATGAAGAAGAAAATCCTTGTCAGAAAGGTAATGCTATGAAAATCTCTAATAAAGTCTGAGGTTTTGTTCACATTCCCTAAGGCCAAACTGTGGGTGTTATCTTGTTTGAATAATGTCTCAAAAGTGTATGTGTGCAGAGGATAGTAATAGGACAGAAAAGTTTTTATAAGCAGAGCTTTTGGAAACCATCAAAGTGGCTGGAAAACGGGAAGAGGAAGAGGACTGTGAAAGGAAAATGAAGGAACAGTTAGAAAAATGAGATTAAATTTAAGTTCATCTGGTGTCCACTAAATGTCTATCATGTGGTGTTATTAGGGATGTGGAGAAGAGCTTGATTTATCTTTAGGTGCTCAAGGTGGAGTATATATATTCCACAGATGGATGGATGGTTGGATGGATGGAAAAGAAGAGTGACAAAATGATTGAATGGATAGATGGATGGGATGATCATTGCCCTCAAAGACTTTACAAACTATTTGGGATTTGTGTATCTATATATCTGACTCTCATTCTAGTCAAACTGTGTATTGATCAAATCATAAATTGTTTTCCTGTATATAGGACAAGAAGCTATTAACTGACAAGACAGTGGTTGAAAGAGAGATGTCTAGAAATTAGCGGAGAGGAAAGGCCACAATGAAAGGGATCCTGGTTTCTTTCCATGAGCTGGAGATCTAGGTGCTTTAAGGAAGGGGGGAAAAGGGTGTCGGCCTCTGGGGAGCCCAGGGTCCGGGCTTTACTGACCTGGTCTCCGCCTCACGGGCCTCTTGCGGCCGCTGCAGAAGCGCACTTTGCTGAACACCCCGAGGACGTGCCTCTCGCACAGGGAGCGCCCGTCTTTGCTAGGGCTGGAACGGCGCTTGGAGGCCGACACCCGGTCGCTGTTCGACTCCCTCGCCTGCCGCTTCTGCCGGATCAAGGAACTGGCTATCGCCGCAGCCATAGCAGCTCAGCGCGGGCCCCGGGCCCTAGGCTCCACGGCGCCCTCCGAATCGCGCTCCGCCGGGTCGAGGGCAGGACCTCGGCGGCAAGGAGGGATAGGGCAGGAGCGGGGAGGCAGTGCTAATATTTGAGGAGGCTGCAGTACAGAAAACCCTGCGCCCACAAGGTTAGTCAGAGTCTGGGCAGTGGCAACAAAATGTGTGAAGATCCAGATGTAAACTTCCCCAACCGCTGGCGGCGGGGGCGGGGCGGTCCCAGGCCCTCCTGCGAAGTAGGTGTGCACCCCAAACTTGCACCCCAAGGCGATCCACTTCCAAGGGGTAGTAGTGAGTTTGGTCACACTGCGTTCAGGGTGCCAAATGGAAAGGGCTAAAGGATGTCCGAAATCACAAGCCGTGCCCCTGTTGGAGAGGCGCAAGCATCGTAAGGTGTCCAAAGTATATCTACACATACATACATAGAAAACGCGTTTACAAAGCAGCGTCTGGACCGAGGAGGGTACGGTGCCCCCGGTAGAAAATACTAAAAAGTGGATAAAACGTTCCTTTAGAAAACAAGCCACCAACCGCAAGAGAGAAGGAGAGGAAGGCAGCAATTTAACTCCCTGCGGCCCGCAGTTCTGGAGATTAGGAGGTCCGTCCCGGCTTGGTGAGGTCTACGGAATGCATTGCACCGGCTGCGGTTCTCCAGGGGCCGGCCGCCCGAGTTCTGGAATTCTGAGAGGCGCGAAGTGGGAGCGGTTTGCCGGAGTCTGGATAGGGGCGCGGGGCGGGGGCAGCTGTTTCCAGCTGCGGTGAGCGCGACTCTCCTCCAGCAGCACTGCAAAGAGAGCGGGAGGCGAAGGGGGCGGGGGGAGGAAGGGAGATCCTCGAGGGCCAAGCACCCTTGGGGAGCAACCCACGAGAGGCGATCCGCGGGGTCCCAAGAGCGGGCGCTCTTTCTCTTTCCGCTTGCTTTCCGGCACGAGACGGGCACAGTTGGTGATTATTTAGGGAATCCTAAATCTGGAATGACTCAGTAGTTTAAATAAGCCCCCTCAAAAGGCAGCGATGCCGAAGGTGTCCTCTCCAGCTCGGCGCCCACACGCCTTTAACTGGAGCTCCCCGCCATGGTCCGCCCGGGGCCGCGGCACCGAGCAGGTCTCCGCACAGGCTCAGAGGGAGCGAGGGAGGGAGGGAAGGAGGGGGCGCCCTGGCGGGCTCGAGATCAGGTCATCGCCGCGCTGCTCGGACCCCCTAGGCTTGCGCGCCCTGGCAGTCAGCAGCTCTCAGGCAGCAGATCAGATGGGGATTACCCGCCGGACGCGAGGCCGATCACTCAGTCCCGCGCCGCCCATCCCGGCCGAGGAAGGAAGTGACCAGCGCGCTGCGAACACCCGCGAGTCTGCTCGGGTGGGGCGGGGGTTGGCTGAGGGCGACGTAGGCTCGCGGCGGCTGCGGCTCCGGATCGGAGCTGCCCACCATGGTCTGGCGCCGGGGGCGCAGGCGGGGTCCCTAGGCCGCCCCAAGCGACAGCGGGAGGCGACCTGGCGCGGTACCCAGGCCCTTGGGGCCAGACGCGGACTCAGGGGCCAAGACCAGCGGGCTGGTGCTGGCGGACGCCAACTCGCCCAACTTGCTGCGCGGGTGGCCGCGCAGAGCAGTGGATTTGCTGGGCGCCCCCCACCGCCGCCTCCTCAAGCCCGGAAGGGGGCGCTCAGGGCGGAGTCCCATTCATGGAACTGAGGCTCGAGCGCGCCGAGCCGCACTGGCTCCAGAGCGCCGCTGCTGGCTCTCTAGGTTGGAGCGCTAGCCCCGCAGGAAACTCCAGGCAGAGGCGACAGCCACCGAAACGGCGGGTGGGACGGGGACCCGCAGGTAGTCGGAGTCCCTCTTGCACCAGGAGATCAAGAGAGCTTCCAGGTGGGGCCGAGCTGGAGTGTCGGGCTCCAGGAGCGCAGAGAAGCGCAGCGCTCTGAGATCCTGCTCCCTCTCCTGGAGCCCTGGGCTCCCAGACTCCCTTCTTCCTCCCTCCCTTCAACCCTCTCCCTCCTCTCTGTCTTCTGTCTCTCCCCTTTTCTCCTCTCTACGCAATCCTACGTGATTGAGGTTTGGATGAGAAATTCTCAGAGGCAGAGAGAGGGAACTGCAGCTCGGGTCTGCTCTGTCCGGTCCCTCCCCCACGAGAACACATCCACGGACGGGTTGAAGGACCCTGCTCAAAGAAGGGGTTGAGAGTGGGGGAGTTCAGTAAACTGGAGCACATTGCATTCTCTGTTTAGGATGCAAGGAAATGGGCACTGGGGAAAGTAGCAAATGGCCTCTAGGGCTCTCAATGTTGGGCCCCACCTCCATTCAGCACATTTTGGAACAACAAAGAGTGCTTCTGCCTCCTTAGTTCCTGCCTTCTTAGTTCCCTCTGGAAACCTACATAGCAGGCTCAGTCCCTAAAAAGAAAGGCCAAAGGAGCAAACTGCACTGGCAGTGAATGGAGGTGGGGTGGAGAAGTGGAGAAGTGACCTGGGCAAAGGCAGGCAACAGCCAGCTTTGGAGCACAACCAGATCTCCAAAAGTGTTGTGATTACAGCTGACATTAGGGAAGCAGAGGAGTCATCCAAGTTAAAACGGAGCAGGATAGATTTTGGAAATGCAAAAGGAATAGTAACCTTTCATTCATGCTAAGTTCTAAGAATGACTATTAGTTATATTTACAATTTCTCTTCAACTTGTCTTCAAATACCACTAATCTCTGCTTTTCACAAACTCTTCTCTAAACATTAAGGGGAGTGCTAAAGGATTAAATGGGTATTGCAGGCACTCCAAGCTACTGAAAATGGAGCCCCAGGAGCTCTCTAGTTGTGGACACAAACCTGTGGGCCTAGCAGATTCACTTGAGCAGCAACCAGAATGACTGAGGTCTGTAAGATTAATCAGACCAAGCACTGAGCCTAGCAACCCAACAGTGTCTTGGGTCTGGGGGCCTGGACCTTCCAAACTGCCAGGTCTGCAAAGCACAGGCTGGCAGATAGTGGTTAATAGATCATATGGCTGGGTGGAAAATTAAACAGGCAAGACACCCTGATGAAAGGGAGCCTCAACTGTCAATCAGAAGTACATATCCCCTGCAGCAGTTCAGTGTGGCTGAATGAGGACGACAAATTCATTCTTGGAATCTTAACAATACAGAACAAGATAGATGAAAAAGAAACACACACACACACACACACACACACAGTGAAGCTGAATGCATTTTCAAAAGTGTTCCTGGTTGGGACAAGAGGAATTACTTAAAATCAGTTGGTAATACTGTCAATTAGGGAATTGTTCACATTCCAGAAATAAAATTATATTTTTCCCTTGGCTATCAGAAGATTTCTCTCATCCCTGAGCAAGGCAGGCACAAATAGTACTGTTTGGCTTTGGGGGCTCCCTGCCTTTTGCAAGTCAACACCAGAATAGGAAAAGGTCATCTAAGGAGAGTATCCAGAGAACTGAGCAAAAGGGAGGTTTATAATGAGGGACTGAGGAAATCATTGCTAAACTCGGAGTCTCTTTTTTCTCCTCAAATGGGGATAATCATTCCCATCTACCTCACAGAACTGAATATGCACATGTAAGCATTTTGAAAACTGGAAAATGCCAGATGAGTAAAGAGATGATGACAGTGTTTATTATTTTTTTTAAGGAAATGCATTAGATTCACCTGAGGTGCTTGTTTAAAATGCAGATTCATGATAGTCTCTCAAAATATGAAACAGAAATCTCCAAAGTTCTTAAGTTCTTCAGGTATCAAAGTTTGAGAGTCTTATATATTAATATATTGTTTGATGTATATAACATACACACACACACACACACACACACACACCTGGCATATTTCCCAAATATCGCAGTCCTGTACCCTAAAATATTTAAAGCCCTGGAAAGAGGATGTGCATTCTCAAATCTTTGTGTGTTGCTCTTTTCTATAGGCTTGTGAAAAATGAGAATGTTTTGATACAGAAGAGAGGCATGAGAGAGAAGGAGTTGATGAGGGAAGACATGAAAAAGCAGATAACAGTTGTTGTTTGAAGTTTTCTCTGTCTTGACATGACAATATCAAGTTAAGCATTTACAGAACAAAACAAAAACATTTGATGTCAGTTTTCTGAAACTGGTATTATTTATGTCTTTAGATCTCTTTTAAAAGAATGTGGTGAATGTAGTTCTTTGGATCCAATGAGACAACAGGACTTGACTCTTTCCCTTGACTCCTGTAGTTATTGTCAGAGTGCTTTTTAGCTGCTTGGTCCTTTAAGCCATTATCAGCATCATTTACTCCATCTCCTCAGTGAGATGAAAAGTAAGCATAGGAAAGACTGTGAAATTATCTAGGACCTAAGTACATGGCTATTGAACTTAGAAGCAATGCTTGATTTTTTTTAACTGATTAATTCATAGCTTTGCTACCCCTGCCACTAAATCTCATAAGCCTTCTTCCATGTCACTAGGACATTTCCATTATCTTTGCATTTGGGGATAAGGGAAGGAATTAAATCAACCAACTGGTGATTTTCATTAAACAAGCAGGTTGTTTAAAGGGTGATATCTCAGGGATAGACTATCTTCTTTTTATTGCTTTCTTTCTTTGAACAACTGAAAAATTTCCCTTTCCAATTTTGAAAACACCATGAGTAGAAAAAAATTAATTACTCTGGAGAATGTTGCCAGATATTCACCAAAAGGATTCTTATAGTTTTATTCATATTTCTTTCTTCCAGTCAAACAAATAAAACATAGGCAGTCTTAACCATCTCCATATATTAAAAGGAAAACACAGAGAACATTTCATTGTCTTTTGCTTATTCATAAACCAAGTCTTCCAACTCCCAAATCTAACTATTGGTATTACTTCACATATCCACTTTACACAGTATATTGTGCACACATTGCACCCAGAATCCTGTGTCAGTTGACAAGGGGAACTCTACACACCCTACATTCTCCTTGCCTTCCCCAAGCTTAGATTTCATACCATCATGATTATTTTTACTCCTGTATTAATCACCTACTATCTGTATACTACTGGACAAATTAGTCAGCTTTTAAAACCACAATTTAAAATAAATAAATGATACTAGCAATATACATCTAACTGGGATCTTGTAATACTCAAAAATATGTGACAAGAATGTCAAGTATGAGAATAAGCATGTTGTCATTATGATATCCATTTAAGTCAATTCCCTGCTATGAAATATAGACTTCTTAAAACAGGAAAACATACTTTGTGAATCATACACATCATCATTCACTCCTGGACTTAATGTATTTAATAAATGCAGGAAATCTATCTGAAATGAATGATTAACCTTGACATTGTAATGGCAAACAGAATTTTCATTAGGCAATCTTGTCAAAGTCCTTGTCTGTTGGAAACACAAAGAGGCTTAGCTCTGTTCATACATCATCCTGCTCTGAGATCAAGTCCTTGACTCTAAGTTTGGTGAATATGAGCTCAGTGGAATCAGCCACAGCTGGCTTGAGGAGTAGAGGGTCTTGCTTCCATGAATACTCTCCTATATAATAGCTGTACTTCCACTTGCTTTTCTCTACCAGACTGTCAGTTAAAATCAGCAGGCAAAAGCAACATGAACAATTACTTTCTAATAATTTGTGAGCTCCTTTCTACATCAAATTCATGTATTACTCAGCTATTCAATAATTCAATTACTATATATGCCTCTCCGGTTTTGGTCATCCCTCAAAACAGGAAAGAGGACAGATTTAATTACTCTTTATGAAAAGACAAAAGGTGGTATACATATTGCCTAAAAGAAGAGATTCTCAATGTTTTGGAAGAGGTTTGCTTTGATAAGAAATACATTTCACTAATGCTAAGTGTCCTACATATTTTTAAGTGCATTGTAATTATTGACACATTGAATCCTTACAACAAACTCTATAAAGTAAATTCTGTCATATCCCTAGGTTTTTAAATAAGAAAACTGGGGCGTGGAGAGGGTAAGTTTTTAAACATAGAGCATCTAGCTAAGAATCCATAGAGTAGATTCAAACTCATGTGATTTGTATTCAGAGACTCCCTTGTATTATCTATATTATATTGTAGGTCAATAAAATATAATGCCATGATAATTATAATAATGTAATAAAATTCATAAGAATATGATTTATAGCTATATTTATATTAACCTCTATTGTTTAAAAACAATCTTTTCCTGTATTATCTCACTAGGATTCAACAAAACTTGCCATAAAGATAAAGAAATAATAATAACCCAATTATACAAGCTAAGACTTAGTGATGTCCAATGTCACACATTCAGTGAATACTATCTATAAATTGATTCAGGCCTTCTGACCTCAGTGTTTCTACTACCGCAAATAAGGCCACAGAGGGGAAAAAAAAATGGGAATACCAAATGTCCTTCCATTCACTAGCCTTGGGGGGGCGGTTCTCATACAAAGGACCTTGGAGGATCATTCTGTAATGGAGGGGAGGGGGATACAAGTCTCCAAGATCTCTTCTGTTGCAACTTTTAACTCTTTCTGGGTCAAGAGCTAAGATGATAGTTTTACAACTCTTGGTCAGTAACTTAAGTTCCCCTTCAGAACAAAACTACAGGGA